ATTATTATTAAATAATTAATAATTAATATTTATTATTTATAAGTTATTACTATTGTTTTGTTATTGTTAATTGCGTGCTTCAACCGGCCGCCGCACACCTTTCCTACCATAGCCAATGACCATTCAGCGCATTATCCGAGACTGTCAAGATAGTAGATGGTGGGGAAGGGGGACTTCGTTATGAAAACTCTCAATACAAAAATAGATTGTTATTAGTTATTTAATGTTAGCTGACATTGATGTTTTTGCTTTTTCTTATCAGTTATCATCATATTAATAATTGAAAATTATAAATCTCATGCATAACTATTAACTATTAAAGTATTTAAAGTATTTAAGCAAATAGTAGTAAAATTTTTATTCAATAATTCTGAGGTATGGTGGCTAAATGATAAATAAATAAATATTAAATATTAAATAAAATAATACCCAATTTAATTTTTAAGGTTCGGTTCGAGTTCGATAAAATATTTGAAGAGTTCGGTTCGGTCCRGGTTCGATTAAAAGTGTGTAGGTTCGGATCTGTTCGAGTTCGTTAATTTAAAGAAAAGTTCGGTTTGGGTTCGGTTCGACCTTAAATATTATGGTTTGTAACATCTCTACATTATATATTTAGTTTTTAAAACAAAAAAATCACTTTACTATAACTAAATGTTATAATTGCTGTATGTTTTTAATATTCAATTACAGCTATTCATTTAAATTAAAAATTTAGTTATTTTGTTAATGCACATTTCCCCTAAAAATATAGTATAAATTAAAAATGCAACATGTTTAGGAGAAAAAAAATCGTCACAGCCATACTTTTTTCCCAATATTTTGTTAAATATATTTTACTAAATTTATGTATGTTTAATACTCTTAGTGTCTTAATAACTTAATTATGCGATGCACGAGCACCATTCATATAACTAATCCATCTTTTAGCTGTAGTTTGTATAACTGTTGCGTTGTCCAGTGTGGCCAGCAATAATAGTTGGTTGATATGTGTAGCATGGTAGTCCCATCGTGCAATATTTGGCGCTATATCAAGTGTTACATGCCTGAGATCATATGCTGATCTTGAACCCATGTCAAACAATGGTAATAAATTTTTCAATGATGTCATACCTTGTTTCCATAATGAATGAGCTTCTTGCGAAACCTAAAATTATTGTGTTGTATGAAATATARTATTATTATAAGTACACAAYTTAAATTACCTCTGAACCGTTAGGAGCTAATGAAAACAAATCATATAATCCAATCAAGGAGTACATAAAACCATTTAAAATAAATATTGGTGGAACTGTAGGATATTCATCATACCATGGATGTAAATTCATAAATTCAGACAAAACACCACCATTTTTAGTCGAAATTTTAAACGGCTTTAGAGCAGTATGAGCTGTTTTTAAATATACTTCATTGCCACCAGAATGGAAAAATGCTCTGGAGAGTAATGATATTGCTTGACCTTGGCCCATAGCAGATAACCTACAAAAAAGAAATATTTGATTATTAATAATATGAATTTTCAATTATTTTACAAATGTTGACAATTTCAAAATATTTTGTAAAATTATATTGCCTGTAAAACTGTTATGCTTCGTAACAAAATTGTCTTCAATATTTTAAATCAGTAAACAGGGCGTAAAAGAAATAACTGACATATTTGACTAGCTAACTAGTATGTAATAATTTTACTTCTAATCAATTTTTCAAATTAAATTATTATGATTATATAATTTTATATATTATTAATAATAAATAAACTGTAAAAGTCTGATTATTCATTAGAGTTAAGTTTTACTAGTAAATGTTAGAATTAAATGTTTGAAGTCCGTAAATGCTGAAAATCCTAATTTTATTTTTATTAAATGTGTTGTATATAACATAAGATGTACAAATTGAGTTAGTAAAATCTGATTATTTTTAGATAATATATTTATTTTAATACACTTACAATTATTCAACAGTAGGTGTCATAATTAGTGAATGATTTAAAGAAATATGGGCCCAGTGCAGTTTTAACTTAGGGACGCTTTTTAACCAATAATTTTAGTTAAAATAAAAAAATATAAACATACCATCCTGGCTTTAATGGTTTGATAACGGGGGATATTTTACGAGTAACAGGATTAATCCATCCTCCAGACTCTTTATCTTGATGTTTATTGAACCAATGGGCTGCAGCATAAAATTGACTAATATGATCACTAGAACTCAGTGTTAAGTTGTCTAAGAATCCAACTCCATACAGTTTAAAATCACATAACTAAATTAAACCATAATTAAAAATTCAATGTATGATTAATATTCAATTTTTATCAAAATATATATTTGGAAAATTAAGGAATAATACACTACCTTATATTTTGAACGGAACATTTTTGCTGTTGTTTTTTTTAATACGTGTAAACCCTTTTGTAAGTCAACTAATACATTTCTTGTTAATTTTTTCCAACCAAATTCTTTACCACAATGCATTCCATGATAAATATTATGACCCTATAAAAAAATGTAATAATTATTATAAAAATTATAGTTTATACTACAATATTACATGAATATTATATTTTAGCATAATTTATCATAAATTCACACAAATAATCTGTTTGAAATATTAAAACAGCATAACTATAAAATAAATACTATTTGAAAAATTAAAATAGTATTTTTTGGTGGAGTATTATTTGATCTCAATTATTTCCACTTTGAAACATATGAGTATGCCATTTCATCACGAGACAACCATGAAAAGTCTGCCAGATCTTGCGATCTTAGTGTGTAATACCTTTGTGGGATTTTTGAAGTCAAAATTCAAAAGTGTACATAAGCAAACCCTAAAGGATACCAGATAATGCACAGATAATACATTCTAGTATACAATAAATATTAACTGTTGAAAAAACAGTTTGTATTTTACAGTCATTTCTAATTTGGCCCTTTATACCAAACACCCCATAATGTTATTCTTGTAAATAAAATATTTTTATTATTAGATGATAAGTATAATTAAGATTGCTTTGTGTGAAAATATGTTAATATGTCATAAAATTAACAAAAATATATTTCATTTTATAAGTATAAAAATATTAAATTTACCTTTGCAAATATAAATGTTCTAGAACATATGTAATGCAGATTCCATACTTCTTGATCCTTTATTTCTTTTATACTTACAACAATACTACTACTTTTTGATAACGACAAAGCAACATCAAAACTAATAAAAAAATCTTCTTTGCTGTCAATTTTTAACAAAATTGGTTTATCTAAATAAAATAATTTTAAATGGTGAATTAGTATATTAAGTTATTTGAATTATCAAAATATGTTAAAAGTTTGTAAAGTTAATTAATATAAAATAACTTTACCTGTACTGAAAAAATCAATAACTTTACTATTGACCTGAGCATTGAATACTATTTGTATTTTTGATGTTTCGGGAACATTCCATAGAGGATTTAACTGACCGTTTTCTAAGACCCTTACTTTTGGTGATGGTAAAGTAAGATTTTTACTATAATGAGATAACCCAAATTGAGCTATTTGTGTTGGATAATAATAACCACGAGGATTCCACTGAGTCGATACTGGGACTCCTATGATTAGTAAACACAAAGTACTTGAGTATTTATTTTATTACTTATAAATTATAATACATGAGCATATTAATAGCTTAATTGTAACTTCAAACTTGCCTTCAGAAGCACTAACACATTTTACACGATCTCTTTCTTCAACTTTATAATTTTGGAAATTTGTGAACACACCTCGAGAGTCATATTTTCCATTTTGATGATATATTTTGGAATAGCTATGTGACCAATGGAATTTTTTTTTGTTTTCATCAGTTTCTATAATTTTTCCATAAACCTTCACAGAAAATAAAATTAGTTTTGTTTGATTTAGTAAACAGTTTCTATTAGGGATGGGCATGAAATCTGAATATCTGAATTATCCAAATATTCAGATATCCAAATTTGGATTTGAATCAAATTCTTATCCAGATTTCCTAAATTATCTGGTTTGATGGATTCGCTTTTTATGTGACTTTAGGCTCAAAATTATTTTTAATGTATCGTAAAATAAATTATTTTATTTTATTGTAATGAAAATTTAACAATAAATTAATACTTAATAATATGATATCACTGGTATTTAAATGCATTTGAAATTTGGTATACCTCTGGCCGAAAATTATGTTATAGAATTAAAATATTAATAGTATACAAAAATGAGTCATTGAACAACAAAATTGAGTTGAATGATCCATATATTCCGGATAATCCACAAAATCCAGATTTACTAAATCCAAATAATTCGAATTTTTGAAATCCGGATAAGCCCATCACTAGTTTCTATTTATAAGCAATTCGCTAAATAGATTTAAATATTATGTGCAGGTTTCTTCAAATAGTATATATGATTTAATAATATAAATAGTTTGATAAATCATTTGTACATTTGTCATTCATACAAATGACAGAAAATAATATTAAAGAATTACAAACCTCAAAATAATTTTTTAGAAATGAAAACGGAATATAAACTGTGTTATTTTTTAAAAGGCAATCCACGTGAACATTATTTCCGTTAATGAGACAGTCTATTGGTTGTACATTTTGAACTAATGACTGAAAAAAAAATGCAAATACAATAGATGGTAAGATTTATTTATAAAATTTAAATAGAATTTTAAAAATGTATGTATCATTATAATACTGTATATTATGATTTACAATATTCTAATTTGTTGATTTACCAACATCTATTATACTTTTATAGTTTTATCATTAAATAATTCATCTGAACATTGATTTTATAATATACAGATTGATTGTGCATACAATATTCAATGACCAGAAAAGTATGCAACAGCTAGGTTTGCTGTATCTGTTTGCATTGTGCTTCATTGTATATTATAAAATCAATGATTTGAGAAAGAAGTATGATGTTGTAATGATTAYGAAATATAAATATTAGACTGCTCTATCATCAATAATATTTGAACTGAAAAGAAACCAATTTTAATACATTAAGTTAAATAGGTACTTTAATACTGATTATATAKCATATACTTAGATGTGTATTATACTATTATGTATAGATATGAATAATATAATAATAATAATAATATTAACAAAATAGCTGGAACTAAATAATATAACAAAATTAAACTTATAGATAAGACTTTAAAAAACAGCCATTAAAACAATAAAGTTTATGAGTATGTTCATAAAAAAAACAAAAACCAAATATTTTTAATACACTTGATACTGATATTATTATTACTATTATTTTTATTTAATAAATAGTATAATAATTTGTTGCTTACTTCGTAATCGGGTTTAATATTTTTTGAAAATGTATCAAATGTTTGATTTGAGCAATTGGACCATAATGACAATGTGCATACTATAATTAAAGAAGAAAGAACTAAAAAAAAAGTCCTTATGTTTAATCTCATACTGGTTTGATGATCATTTGAACGATTGAATGATGAATGACTGCAACAATTAATAAAATTAAATAGTAATCTCATAAACTTGTTATTTAAAATACTAACTCTATTGCAAACTTTATTTTGTAGATAAGTATATTAATTTCAATTCAATGACTATTTTAGTATTAGATAATCACTTTATAAATTATTAATTGAGTAGGTCAGTATCAAATTGATTAGATTGATTTAAAAAAAATTATAATACAATTATGTGGTTTTTTTTATACAAATATATTTTATAGGTACCTATTAATTGAATTATTGATTATCTTAATATTATATTAATAATTAACTGATAATATTATCGAATACATTTAAAATGGCAGTCTATAGTCTATACAATCTGAATTGGTTATAAATAAATTGTTAGATAATTATACAGTTATACATTATACACTTTATACATTCATTAAAAAAAAAATAAGTCATAAATAAGTAGGTAGATATTTAACATATCTTAATAATTAATTTAAACAGAACAAAATCTAAAAATGTATTAGTTTCAAACCATTAGCTTATTATATAATATTGAATCTCAATTGTCTGTTATAATTTGTGAGATACCTACTACTTTTGCGTTAAAACATTTTAAGAATATTATGGAACTTAACCAAAAATATTCCTATTTCTAGTTGGAATGAATTTATAGGTGTTTGTAAGCAACTTAAATATAATTGCTTCATTTGAGAGAGKCAAGGTGAGCATGTTCTACCTCAATTGTCCCTCTATGATTTTAAAAGCAATTAAATATTGTTGGGCTGGTTATTTGGTGAAATAATATAACTGTTGTCAAGATAATTATTAATATTTATAGTTTATTAGTTCAGATAAATAGACACTATAGAAGTATTATAAACAAAATTATCATTCTTGAATTTATTCATGATTTCGAAAAATCCTCTACTATAAAAGGTACCCATTTAAATTTTTTTGATTTTTCAATTGCGTTTAAGCAGTCGTATTTCATATTATTATATAACCTGTTCGAGACTTCTAGAAAAATATAAAATTATGCCATCGATATAAACAACAATGAAAAAGCAACCATAATTATTAAATAGCGCCTCTACATCTTTTCTGTTTTAAAATGAACCTCTWATTTTTGCCTCTGCTGTGTATAAAGTTGTGTAAGATGGGAATTGTAGCGAGATAAATTCGAAGTGGAAATTAGTTTGCGAGCAAAGCTATATGTTTTTTATTTGTTCATTTAGCAGAATTGATGAGTTTCATAACAATAATCCTACAAAGCTTCTTATTTGACCTGATCAAAGTGATCATATATCATTGGTTATTAAAATGTCCAAAGAATGGATAGGCTTTGAGAGGAAAAATTCCATRCTWTAAATGTGTACTCTACAAAGTTTGTAGTACCTGTATCATTGGGGCCAGACAATGTCCGGTTGGGCGGAATGTGGTGGCAGTCTGATCATTTTACATGGCTGTCAGCAGATGATGATCATTATTTCTGTGACAATTGTTCCACGAACGATTGCCGTCCATCGTCAGGACAGCAACCATCCAACTGTTCGACAGTGGGCACAAACGTTATGATGAATTTAAAACAAAAATCTTGACAGTGACTATTGCTTAATTACTTAATAACCGGTACCTAGCTGGAACTCGTTACAAATATTTGTCAGGTCGGCCTACGCTTTTCTAATATTAATTCACCCGGTCCGATCATAACGGAAAATATGACGACAATGAATGATGAAGGTTAATGTTGTTACTTTGTGTGTAATAAAATACTGTAATTACTAATTATTTAATAGCGTTATATAAAAATAAAATATTAATAACACTATTTCGTGTCTGTGCGATTTTACTCAAAAGTCAAAACTGATAACGACTGATAACAAGAATTGATTTTGATAACCGCAGAAATTGCCACGGTGTGGGCGTGGGTGTTGGTTGTTCACGAAAACTCCACTGTTCAGTGGAAAACTCGGTAACACCACAGAACAATATGGTAACACGGTTCTAGGAAGATAAAACTGTGCCCGGCTAGGACCACACCGTATTATAATAATTCTCTATTCTGTGTTATTAAATTTTCGTAGGCCACACTGCTGCAGCCGCTGCAGGCCTACAGATAGTACTATCGKCGTTACAAGGTGATGTAAGTTGCACGCCGTTTATTTGTTGTYATATGCATGGACTCAGTGCCGCGTTAAGCTATGTTGCCGCCCCGGGGCAAATTAAAATATGCTACCCTTAATTTTTTATTTTATGTTGATCCTTAAAAATTTTCCRCCCTATCAAACACCATAAAATTTGCCGCCCCTGGGCAGTTGCCCCTCCTTGCCCCCCGTTAAATGCGGCTCTGCATGGACTAAGATATAATGGACTGGTATCGTAACATTTTCGGTGGTTCACATGGACTAAGATATACATATCTTAGTCCGTGGTTATATGTTATTTTTCCAATGGCCCGTTACACCCCCCCCCTCTCTGACGACCTAAAAATTGTTATGCCTTGTTTACACGTGACGAGTACTCGGCCGAGCACTGTCCCGTGTGAACTCAAGGAACCAGTACTCGGCCTAGTAATTGGACGAGTAAAATAAGCGRGCGAGTGAATAGAAACAGTTTCTATTCGCTGGGCCGAGTGACTACCCCCACTACCAAGACCTAGCAACATAACTAGTGACACGGCCGAGTACTCGTCACGTGTAAACAAGGCATTAAGCTTTTTATCGCCAACACAGTTATTAAGTAAACACACATATTAATACCACACATATTATGATATTATTATAATATAATAATAATTTTTATTATTGTTATAATATAATCAGTGTTAATACGTTGTCTTCGTCTAATAAATGTTGAAATTTRAAATATAGCAACAACTGTTATGCGTGGTTAAGAACCGAGAAGACTACAGACATAAGACATAACTAAGGAACGAAATTTCTACCACACAACAAGAAGAATTTTGGCTGTGAAATATACATAGATAATATAAGATATATAATTCTTATATTATCTATGGAAATATCTTTATTATTTTTTCGACATCAGAATTATATAAAAAAAAAAAAAAAAACACAAAAATAATGCATTTTGAAACAATACCGCCTACYTAGTAAGATTTTTTTCGAGTAAGTGATATCAAGAAAATTAAAACTATTTCACAGATAATGTTCTCAACTATATTTTATATCAATTCAGTGCTAGGTATTATAGCCCGAGTGGTTCTATCTCGTGCTCAACAGTTTTTGGTATATTGTATATTTGACATTTGTTAGATGGAGACAACAAATGTGTCGAGTGTATATAGCGTCAACTCAACCATATTGTACCTAATATTTCTTTGATAATATTCTGGGACCTCCAATTTACTGTGCTATCTTTATCTAACAATTCATTGGTGGGGGGCCTCTCGCATAGGTATTAAAGATCTATAATTATATACATATATACCTATATATTATATATTATGTCTTTAATCGCGGTTYCTTAATATTCTCTTGGTATCACAGAACAATCCTATTTCATTGAACTCCATAAAATGGTATCATATAGAGTTGAATGTTCCATTTAAGCGTATGGTTATCTTGCCGCAATATGAGAAGRTCGACACACTTACATTTTCTATACCTACCTTCACTTGGAAATGGATTATTTTCGTCACTTGTTTTCAACTTTAAAAAAAAAGTTTATTTCACTTTGCCCCTTTTATGACATTTTAAAATAGAAAAATTGAACACGAAACTGCAAACGAAAATTACGGACAACAGTACGAATAATATTATAATACCAATATAAGGTATGGATTAAATCGATATTTTAATAGTGTGATAAATGAATTAAGATAAGATAGCGATGGCTGGTGGGAAAGTTGCACGGCAAAAATAAGCGGTCTGCGTTAAGGCGAATCGCCTTTATACCCGCATAATATAAGTAGTATACTTTGGAGAATTTTTTATACAATGTGTTTGAGTGAAGCAATATAAAAAATAAAATTGTAAAAATTAAAATTAAAAATTAACACTATTGAATTAATTAAACCTAACTTATGCTAATGCGGGGGTGGTGGCGAGGTACTTCGTGCCCCCCCCCCTAATTTCGCCACTGTGACGTATCCTGTATATTATTATATATATCTTAAATCGTAGTAGGTACTTAAAACCTACTTCTTAAGTAACTTTATTTTTTATCTCTTAARAAGTTTAGGTTAGATACTTAAATTATTGTACATATATATACAAATGGCTAATGGACTGTGGACTGTGGCCCGACGAAAATTGGCCGTCGTCAGCTACGTTTCTTACCCTACATAGAGTAGGTATAATATTTGTAGGTAGTGTTTGAGAATGAAATGTGATATACGTTTATATAATTTCATAATCGTCTATATTAAATTTCAGTTTTTTTTTTTGAGTGCATACAAAATTAATATTTTTAATTACTAGTCTTGTAAGTAAAAATTGTAGTATTAAAAAGTTTTTTTTTCACTTAGGTATAACATAGAGCAAATTAATGTCAGTGTTTTTAATACATTGCGATTGCATCCATATGTCGGTAGTTTCAAATGTTTTAATGTGCATTCTTCCGGACAGTATGAATAATAGATAACAGATAGCGAAAAYTTAATAAAACTAACTTAACGAAAACATTATATTGTATTGGATACCATCTATGTATTATGTATATTATTYAATTTTCTGTCCAGTTAAACCTGCAGTATATGACTGAAAGTCACAGGCAACTGGGCCATMAAAAATGTCCACTGCAGGAGATATAGGCTTTAGTATTTTTTAGTCAWGCAGTTAGTATTTTTTCAAGATCTCTTGTCATATTTGTTTAATAAGGGGCAATATTTAGGCAATGTGTAATTACGGCGGCCTTATTGTGTTGGTTATAATAATGAAATTAATACTCAATAGTAATAGTGTACACTATACACGCTGCAGGCGCAAACTCATCTATTTCACTGCTGATAAAAAATTTAAAAAATGATTTTTTGCTCAAATCACGCAAATAAAAAAAAAAACTATCGAGTATTATTATAAAGTATTCTGAGGATGATTTTCCAGGAGGATTGTTTTTAGCAAAAAACGGGTCATTTGCTGGCCTTTAAATAAAAAATATATTGTATTTTTTATCAAAAAACCTAATAATAAATATTAGTACAAGTACATATTACGAATGGGTTGGACACACTTAGAGAGCAGATGGACAGCTAATAAAAAAGTACTTCTAGAAAAAATTAGTAAAACAAGGCCCCAGGAAAGACTAAGAACCCAGTGGATTGATGTGATAACCAGGCCTAAAAGTAATAGATCATAATGTAACTTTTGACCTGATTTACAACAGAGATAGATGGCGAGACCTCTTGAAGGCAGATCCTCAATGGACCGGTTACCTGAGAAGAAGAAGAATAGATATGTTTAAATACGTTGGAAAGAATCTATCTATTTGCATTTTGCCGGGACTTTGCGGTATAGGTACTCTACCCTATACTTAACCGTACATACCCCATATCCCACCGACTAACAAATTTAACATACTTAATCTCTACGTCTCCCCTGTTCTTATTAAKCTGGCTCCTCCTGGGCCCCTTTCATCCATCCCTTACATRGGAGGCGTATCRAATCGATCCAAAACGTCAGCATACGTATAATAACGGGTATGCCCACTATTATCAAAAATCTGGTTATTCTTAAATCTTCAAATTTGAAATCCATCTAAACTTCTATTCAGTCCAAATCCAAATCGATGTCCGACAAAGCTCCTTCTTAGACCATGACCATATCCAACTTCTAGGCAAAACACACCCTTCTCGAACTCAATTACCAAAAAACAATAACCYAAACCTTACTCTTTCCCACGGATTAACCAATAAACAAACTTTAACCATCTTCAAACTTCCATTCACTAGTAGAAGTACAAGCCTGGTATAGTTAACGGCAAAGCCATCCCTCCAACGCAAAGTAAAGCGAGAGAGTAGTCACTTCTACTTCAACCTTCTTCTCAACACATCTTTGATTCAATTTCAACTAAACAACATTCGAAGACAAGAAGAATAAAGGACCATCGGAGGTTCCACAGCCAATTTCGTTTATATGACAAGCCATACCGGGGCTCGCCGACCTACCCGAACCAATATCAGCGACTGGACAACTACTCTGCGGAACTTGCCAGGTCCCTAAAGTTCGACAGAGACGTCACCCATTGTGCCCGTACTCTTGACCAACGGAATCCCACTACCCAGCCTAGGTCGCTTTTGAGAGCCTATCGTTTTCGGATCCGACTCACGGYAGCAGTCACTATTGATAGCTAGACGCTACACGTGGTCGATCCCATTCTCTAAACTATGTAATCCCTCAAATATTATTCTATACCTTACTTTGTAAATAGCGTAGTACCCTTGATTCGTCGTGGAATGACACCGAACGCGGCAAATCGCCTCCCGGCCTAGCTGTCGTGCTAGTACCACTAACCATTGTGCATAAACAAAACTTCCATAAAAATAAACAGATGAAATGATTACTAGAAAATCAGTAGTATAATTATTATTTAAAAATACGTAACAGACTAACAGACTTAAGAGCAACTGTTTYACATATAATATATTAGTATAAGTTTTTACCCAATTTTAAGTAAAAATAGTACAACGTTTTTGGGRAAAAAAATATACTTTATCATTATAATTTTTAAGTGTCTTGCTCTTTTCAGTGGCAACGTATACATTTTTAATTTCATATTCCAAAGCAGAATATTATTCGGAGTATTTYTATAAATAAAAATCGGATTTCAGACGAGTAGTTTATTTAATTTAGTGTTGTAAGTTATTACTTTATAACTTATAATTGTTATA